CCCCCCCCCCCCATAATATAATAATAATGCCTGAATTCCACAACAAAGTTAAAAATGTGTTGGGAAAACGTGTTTTTATTTATTTATATTTTATTTCAGTTTTAGCTTTAATATTTTTTAGTATTAAATATTAACTTATTGTATTTCATATAGTTGCCAATGCAACATTACTATTTGTTTTTTCATTTTTTTAAGCTTAGGTTTTTCAGCAAATATTTTTTTTATTGTATTTACGTTTATTTGACCTTTATTTCATTTAACAAAAATATTTTAATCGTTTCAGTTACTTTAACCATTATTCACAGCAACTTTTGTATTTGATGCTGGTTTGATCATACAGGTAACTCATAATTTTTGAAATCACAAATTGTCTCCAAATTTAATTTCTCGCATTTTTCTGGCACCGTAGTGCGTAAAAAGATGCGGGACTTTTATTTTAAAACGCCTATTTCCTGTGACTGTCAGGAAACTCATCTGGAAAATAAGAAATAAAAGTGGACGGTGTCCCGTAAACCCAGCGGTTGTCTTGATATTATATGGTCAAATCTCGACGATTTAAAATTCAATCTGGACCGATTTAATGGACAAATAAGGTGAGGGAATCACGCCTCTTTTGTCATAGTCCTTTCAGTGCGTAACGCCACCGTTGAAAAACTGCTAAAACAGTACAAATCCGATACTTCGATCAAGCTAAGCTAGAGCTAATTGACACTCCGTTAGCCAGTGTGTAAACAGTAAGTCTTGTTCACAGATATACTTTAAACCTTGACCTTATGTGTATTAAAACCATACAATTATTTGAATAGTTCTGCCTTAAATGTATCGCATCTGCCAGCACGTGGGATTTGCATTAGGAATACTCTGGGCCCTGACAAATTGATTACAAACATCACACGACCAATCTTCAATACGGTAAAAGTGCCTTTCCAGCGTCCATAACATCATTGAGCTGATTTGTGTATGTATGTGCCTCACATTTCTATTTTGCTGCATTGTCACATTTCAACATTTCAATCTCCAGAGCAACCAATTACCCCACATGAGTACAAGTTGTATCACTAAACTTCACTAAATAAGTCTTCAACAGAACGCACTAGAGTTAAATGTCAATATGCAAGACGTCTATGTGCTTTTTATTTGTTAAGAAACGTGCGTCACATTCTGATACAGTCAGTGAATTCATTTGTGATGTTTACTATGGGCGTGTGTTGCGCGCATATTTGCTAGTCATGCTGTTTTCAAGCTTGTTTGCATAGAGTTCAAACTGCTTGATCTCTAGATAGTAATTTTTTAAAGAAAACTCAACATTTTTGGCGCAACGTTCAGATTGCTCATGCATGCACAAGAGAGGCGTTTGAAATCATGTAGGCCTGCCTTGAATGTATTTTAAGTGTGATTTTTAAATTTTTAAATCTCTTCTTCCTTGTAGTAGGGATGTATTTAAATAATACAAAAAATAGTTTCCATTTAGCAGATACTTCCGTCCAAATGGACTTCTCACAGTCAAGTCACCTTTATTTATTAATTATGTATTTTTTTTATATAATACAATACCTTTTTTTTTTTTCAAAAGCAGCTTCACAGTAACAAACAGGTAAATAACAGAATTAGTGTTGCAAACATCTTAAGTTATGAGACAAATTCAAATTTTGCGTTAAAGCCGGTCTAAAAAAAGACAGTAGTGTCGTTATTCAGCTCAAGTAAGTTTATTGATTCAGTTCAGTGCATTAACTGTAAAGTTAATCACTTATAAAACGTGTTCAATTCAGCTATAAGCACTCTACAGAAGGCAAACGAGATGACACGAGAATCAAACCAGCATAAACTAAGACCATTTCTTTTGTTCCTAAGGGGTACCAGTGCACGCCCAGATACCACAGGAATGGATATCACAAGTCGCTGCACTCTTGGTGACCCCAACAAGCTCCCAGAGGGAGTTCCTCAGCCTGCCAGGATGCCCTATGTCTCCGACAAGCACCCTCGGCAGACTCTGGAGGTCATCAACCTGCTCCGCAAGCACAGAGAGCTGTGTGATGTGGTGTTGGTGGTTGGAGCCAAGAAGATTTATGCACACCGTGTGATCCTGTCCGCCTGCAGCCCCTATTTCAGAGCCATGTTCACGGGGGAACTGGCCGAGAGCCGGCAGACGGAAGTCGTCATCCGGGATATCGATGAACGTGCCATGGAGCTGCTCATCGACTTCGCTTATACCTCGCAGGTATGAATTCCTGTTGCGGTATGTTGAATATAAAAGTTGCATTGAAAGTTCAGTTACTGTCAATTTTGATATTAAACAAATGCTGTGTATTGAAGTTCAATATTAAACTTTAAACCAGTTGACGTAAGTTGTGTGGTGGCATGCAGGTGACTGTGGAGGAGGGAAATGTGCAGACATTGCTGCCTGCTGCCTGCTTGTTGCAACTGGCAGAGATTCAGGAAGCCTGCTGTGAATTCCTCAAGCGGCAGTTGGACCCCTCGAACTGCTTAGGCATCAGGGCCTTCGCCGACACTCACTCCTGCAGAGAGCTGCTGCGTATTGCTGATAAGTTCACCCAACATAACTTTCAGGAGGTAATGGCTGACCTTCACACACCCTCTATTGTGTTGACTCTGAATGTACTGTGACTTTGAACTTGAACCTTTTTGTTTCCATTTCTTACTTGTTTTTGCTGTCTTTGTGTAGCACATGTCTGAATATATTCTTTTTGTTAATCATAAGTGATATTACAAATTAGGTAACACTTTACAATAAGGTTTGGTTTTTTAATATATTAGTCATCATGAACCACATCATTTTTTACAGCATTTATTAATCTTGGTCAATGATAATTTATAAATTTATTGTGCGTCAATACTCACATTCAAAAGTTTGGGGTCATTAAGATTTTTTTTTTTTTTACATAAATACTTTTATTCAGCAATACAGCATTAAATTGATCCAAAATGACAGTAAAGACATTTATAAGGTTACTAAAGATTTTTATTTGAAACAAATGCTTTTCTTCTGAACTCATCTTCTTCTGAATGCATCACAGTTTCTACAAAAATATTAAGCAGCACAACTGTTTTCAACTGAGATAATAATAAGAAATGTTTCTTGAGCACCAAATCAGCATATTAAATGATTCTGAATGAGTCCGACTAAATGACTACTGAAAATCAAGCTTTGCCACAACAAGAATAAATTACATTTTAAAATATATTAAAAAAGAAAAGTTATTTTAAATTGTAGTAGTAATAGAAAACCTGTACATTTAGGACATTTTTAAAAAGTTGTTTTCCAGGCTTGGAGGAGTCATTGAAATGTCAATATAAATGTTTCTAGATATGTAAAAATATTTACTCGGTTAGAATTTACAATGGTCAGAAAGTTTGGGAACACTACATAAGCCTCAGTTGTGATTTCCCTGTATCTAATTTTAGCCTTACACTCAACTTTTCCATCAGCTAGTTTAGGGTTTCCCTGATGACCATGCAACCCTGTTATTTTTGACTCATGGGACGAACCCCCATTGCTGGTATCAAATTAACACCCCTGTATTTCTTCATTTAGTTTAAAAGGGTCATGTACAATACCATGTTCATGGGTTCGATTCCCAGGGAATATATAAACTGTATGTTTTACAAAAGACCGTGATCTGTTTGGTGAAGTAAAAAAAAATTATGCATGTCACATTAATCTTTTTTGATCATTTCTTCTTTTTAGGTGATGGAGAGTGAAGAGTTCATGCTGCTCCCAGCCAACCAGCTGATAGACATCATCTCCAGTGATGAGCTCAATGTTCGGAGTGAGGAGCAGGTGTTTAACGCTGTAATGGCCTGGGTTAAATACAGCATCCAGGAGCGCAGGCCTCAGCTGCCACAGGTCAGATATAAGCATATAAAACACTATAGACATACTGCTTATGGTAGATGTTCATAATTTGGAATAAAACAAAATGCAATATATCGGTGTTTAAAACGGGTGTTCTGTTTAGTATTATTCTGGAAACCGTGATGCATCATTTTTAGGTTTCTTTGATGAAAAGAAAGTTCAAAAGAACAGCTTTTATTACATTATATATGGCTTTACTGTCACTTTTGATCAATTTATAGCATTCCTGCTGAATAAAAGTAATAATTTCTATATTATATTTCTATAATATATCTCTTTAATAATGCTTATTTGACAGGCTTTTAAATGGTAGCGTATATCAATAGGATTAAAAAAAGGGTTTTGTGTAAATTACATGTAAATTGTTATTATTTAGACTCTCATCAAAGAGATAAATGAGATGAATAATTCATGAGACCTCTCATCTGTTATGGCAACAGGTTCTGCAACATGTGCGTCTTCCCCTTTTGAGCCCGAAGTTTCTGGTTGGGACGGTGGGTTCAGATCCTCTAATCAAGAGTGATGAGGAGTGTAGGTGCGTGTGTACAGTCCCTTCTAAACTATATAAAGTTTTTGTAGGAGACATCTTGAAGCGCTTCTTGCTGAAAGGACCTTGTGAAGTAATCCCAGAAGGTGCTCTTTGGTTGGGTTTGAAACAACTTTTGAAAAAAGGGAATCCAAGGCACTTCTTCTGGTCCAAAAGTTAAAAAGCCTTTATTCACATTCTGGCCATTTCAATACATAAAGTTTTTGTTAATGGGTGAAGATCCTCCTCTGTTCCTTTTGTCAGAGCCCAATATCTCTGAAGCATGTTTTAATAGGATGTGATGGGTTTAACTAATATAGGTCTCCTTACTTTCCAGTTAATTTATATGAGAAAAGTTTTTAATGAAGTGAGACCAGACTTAGTTAAATTTGTCTTCATTTTTTTTAACTTTAAAAACCTTTTATAAATTTGTATGTGTATTTATTTATTTTTTTCTATTTTTTATTTGTCTCTCGCCATGAATATTTCGTAATAGCTGACGTAGTGTTCAATTCTAAACAAAAAGTGCTGTATTTTGAGGAATTTGTACTTTAATCATACTACTCAAACTGAATATAATATTCAATAAATATATAAAACCTTTTTGGGGGCCCTTGCAAAATTCATATTTTTTAGGTCGCTTTGATGTAAATCTTTCCTCTTATTAAAAATATGTTGTCTGTCTTAGCTTACAGTAGTGCTGGGCGGTATGACCAAAAATTTATATCACGGTATTTTTCAAAATTATACCGGTTTCACGGTACATGACGGTATTTTTTTTTCATGCATGACCGGGTGTTAACCATATTCAAACTGAAAAAAACAACAAACAAAAAAGTGCATGTGATATTAACAGACGAACTACGCTCATATTTATAATTCCAAACAATCAGCAAGCGACAGGTGCTAGAAAACGGTGTTTTGTACTCCTTTATTGATGAGTCGGCTGCGGTGCGGCCAACTGAAATCGCTGCTTCTCTGCCACTAACTGCACAGAACAGACGGCGAGAGAGGTGACACTTCTCCGGGAAAGTCAGATCTGGCGTTCGCGGGACAGCACTGGCGAAATCTTCCAACTGAACCATAGCTAAGGTTTATCAAAAAAAGTCGCTAGGTTTGAGACGCGGGAGCTGATGGCAGGGGGCGGTGGATGATTGTGGCGGTCAGTGTGGATATTGTGGATGAGTTTTTCTGTGTCATCACGTTCTATTAGTTCTACAGCTTCAGTTTCGGAACTTTCACGCTTAGTAACACATACAGCTGTTCCCTCACCACAGTGCAACAGTGAAAAGGGACCCCTTTCAAACAGTGTCACGTTCCGAACGTTGTTTAAGTGACATATACCGGTATTGCGGTATTTTAAAAATTCATATCATAGCAAAAATAAACACCGGTATTCGGTATGAACCGGTATACCGCCCAGCACTAGCTTACAGCCATTTGCAATCAATCTGTACCATTAAAATATGTTCTTTATTCACTTTTGAAATTTAACATTTCCATTCCAATCTTTAAACTGTGACAGCATAGATTAATCAATACTTTTTTCCCCCTGTAGGGACTTGGTTGATGAAGCCAAGAACTACCTCCTACTACCCCAAGAGCGCCCCCTAATGCAGGGACCTCGAACCCGGCCCAGAAAGCCTATTCGTTGTGGAGAAGTTCTGTTTGCTGGTGGGTGTTTTAGCAAGCAGATCTTAGTTCTTATTCCGCTGATTGATTTTTGTTGACTTTCCAAGATTTCCCCCGGCACATCTTACTTCTGCAGTCGTGTGATCTGACTTCTGTTTGTGTGATTCAGTGGGAGGTTGGTGCAGTGGTGATGCCATCTCAAGCGTTGAGCGCTACGACCCTCAGACCAATGAATGGAGGATGGTGGCGTCCATGAGCAAACGGCGCTGTGGAGTTGGTGTCAGTGTTCTGGATGATCTGTTGTATGCAGTTGGCGGACACGACGGCTCATCTTATCTCAATAGTGTAGAGAGGTGCTGCTTGATTGACACAAATGATCAGTTGTGTTTATCACAATTCTAGTATGCAATGAATGAATCCTCAAAAAAATGAAATACATGAAATTATAATGGATGGAAAAATGAAACTCAACATTTCTGCCCTCTGCTGGTTCTGTCAGGTACGATCCCAAGACTAACCAGTGGAGCAGTGACGTAGCCCCTACTAGCACCTGCAGGACCAGTGTGGGTGTTGCTGTATTGGGAGGGTATCTGTATGCTGTGGGAGGCCAGGATGGTGTTTCCTGTCTCAACATTGTAGAAAGGTTAATGTTAAGATAATTATCCAGTTATCATCTAAATATCTAAATGGACATGGCTTGAAGTTTCCTTTAGGAGGGGATTTAATTAGATAATTGCCGTTTTTTTTTTTTTTTTTAAGGTATGATCCGAAAGAGAACAAGTGGACTCGTGTTGCCTCAATGAGTACCAGGCGGTTGGGTGTAGCTGTAGCTGTATTAGGAGGTTTTCTTTACGCAGTAGGTGGTTCAGACGGCACATCCCCACTAAACACAGGTAAATACTGGAAGATGTAGAGACTCCGCAATATTGGAGTCAGTTGAAAGTGATCAGATATTGCTATATGTGTAGTTAATATTTGATGCGTCTTCTGTATTTTTAGCAATAAATGCAGCCGAGGAGTGTTTTGACAGTTTTATGATTAAAGTATTAGATATTATCATTCAATAAAAGAACATTACTGTATTGGCGTTGAAACTTTGAAATTGTCCGTTTGGTCAAATGAGTTATTGTTCAAAGTTTCAGTGACTGTAGTCAATACAAGTACCAAATGTAATAAAAGTTGGAACTTTTTGTGAAATTTCTCAGTACCACAGCAAAAAAAAGCTATTGAATACTTTGTCAAATTGATATCAAAGTCCTGGTATTTTTAACATCCCTAATGATTTATTCAAAACTATTCAAAAGTTTGGATTCAGTACAGTTAAAAAAAAAAAAAAAAAAAAAAAAAAATTTTT